AGGAGAATCACTTGAGCCCAAGAGCTAGAGGTTGCTGTGAGCTGTGATGCCACAGCACTCTACCCAGGGTGACAGCTTGAGGCTCTGTCTCAAAAAAAGAAAATAAATAAAGATTCTGTACTTTATTAGAATTCCTGGAATAAAAAATAAGTGTTTTACAACAGTGGGCCTTGTGTAAACAATTTTAGATTTCCAGTTTTATTTGTCATTGGAGTAATTTATTTGAGAGCTTGTCTGGAGGTCCTAACAGGGGGACTAGCTGCCTCTGTACTCTTGACCAAAGAATAGGCCACCTCTGTGAAGGAGGTGACCCTCCTCAGCTGGTGCACATGGAGGAGCAAAGGAAGACAGGGCATCTGCCCTGCCAGGAAGACCAGCTGAACCAGCCTGGCTGTGAGCGGCCCATGTCCAGAATAATTGAGTAAACGCATGGTATTGGCCCAGCTGGCTTTAGTTACCTTGAAATGCAGAGCTAACGCACCGAGATGAGGTTCTGGAGGAAGAAGCTAAAGCAGCTTAAAGGGTTCCCACATCTCCTGGCTTGGAGCTCATGAGCTTAGAGCTGCAATGGTGCTGGAGGACTCACTGGACCAGTGTGGTCTGGGGCAGCTCCCTCTGCCACAGGGACAGGTGGAGGGAACTCTCCCGTTTCTTCAGAGAAAGCAGGGTCTGCACAGGAGGTGCCCAGAATCTTTCTGAAAACAGGAGTTCAGTTTTGTCACGTGACTGTTGAGTGCTGTGATTCCCCAAGCCGTGTCCACTCCAGAGTGCAGCCTCTGCTCAGGCCCAGGAGCCCTGCTGCACGCATGCTTGACACAGGTGCATCTCCAGGACCTTGGCTGGGCATTTTGGTCCAGGATCTGGGTGAGATTAGGGTGCTTCTCATGCCCTCCCTCATCAGGAGCTAGTGCTAAATGTCTTATCTGAGAAGTGAAAGAAGATCAGAAACCTTACTAAAAGCACAAACATGAGAAAATTGAGCAATCTCTGTGAAGGGACTACTTGAACTTGAAAATGATTTGTTCTCTGATTTTTAAACAGAAGCTAAAAATATTTTATTTTGTTTGCAGTTTTTGAAGAGCCTGAAGACCCAAGCAGCAGGTCCTTCTTCTCTGAGATCATCTCATCCATTTCCGACGTAAAGTTCAGCCACAGCGGGCGCTACATGATGACCCGGGACTACCTGTCGGTAAAGGTGTGGGACCTCAACATGGAGACCAGGCCAGTGGAGACGCTCCAGGTCCACGAGTACCTGCGGGGCAAGCTGTGCTCCCTGTACGAGAATGACTGCATCTTCGACAAGTTCGAGTGCTGCTGGAACGGCGCGGACAGGTAGGGCCTGGGCAGTGTGCGGCCACCCAGAGCTGGCTGGCTTTGCTCACTTGTCCTCAGGGCCTCCAGCCGTGCCCAGAGAAGACCTGCCAGGGAGGAGTCGAGCTGCTCGGTTTCCAGGCCTCTTGCTTATCTGTTTGATGGCAGTGTCAGAGTGGAGAGACTGAGTCGGTTTCTATCTTATGATCCATCTGCACAGACAGTGAGCATAACACTGGGTGCGTGGTGGCTGTTTTTAAAATACTTAGGGAATGGGTGATGGTTTGTTATTTTTTATTATGCCCAAGATGAATGATAAGGAAGTTGGTGTTATCTGGGTCATGGGACACCTCATTCCAATTTGCCTTTCCTTGTGAAGAAGAGCAACAGAAGAGCCACCATCACGTCCACACAGAAAGCTGTGACACTGGTGTGACGTGCTGACTTCATGGTGCGGTAGCTCTGGTCCCCTGATGAATCCCTTTGTATGCATTCTTTAGAGATGATATTGCTAGTGCTGTTGAGACTTAACATCTTTATGTTATACCAAAAAATTACATTCCAGATGGTGGGAGGAAATTATCTTAAATTTTTTTATATAGAATTTTCACTCTGGTCAGGCTTGGTGGTTCATGCCTATAATCCCAGCACTTTGGGAGGCCAAGGCAAGAGGATTACTTGAGGCCAGGAGTTTGAAACCAGCCAGGGCAACATAGCAAGACCCTGCCTCTGAAAGAAAACAAATAGCAGGCGCAGTGGTGGGGCCTGTGGCAGAAGAGTGGCTTGAACCCAGAGTTCATGGCTGAGGTGAGCTTTGATGGCACAACTGCACCCCAGCCTGAGCAAGAGCAGGACCCCATCTCTACAAAAAAGACTAGGTCCAGCTACTTGGGAAGCTGAAGCAAGGGGAGCTTTTGAGTCCAGGAGTTTGAGGTTGCCATGAGCTGTGACCCATGGAACTCTACCAGGGCGACAGAGTGAGACTCTCTTCCCTTTTTAATTCAAGGGAACAGAGGAGTTCTGCTACTGGCAATAAGGGATTAATTAACTAAACATTCTAGAAAACCCTTTGGCATAAACACCTAGATATGCTGGATATGGGACCACCAATCTCTCCACATGCACAGTGGAGCTCACCCACAAGCAAGGGAAATTTCATGACGTCAGAAACAAATGAGCTGAGCCCTGAGCCCTGTGCCAGCCACCCTGAAGCCTGGGGGCATCAGCTGGTCCACCTGCTTTAGTAGCCCAGCGGTGGTACAGAGAGGCCTTGGACCTGCACGAGGTGTGGAGTTGAAATTAGGATCCTCCAGGGTTAAAAGGGAAATACCTACCTCCTGGCTGATATCCGGAAGGAAATTTGTCTAAGACCTGAGTTGGGATGGCCCCAAACCCAGAGACATGTAGCTACAGCTCACCCTCACAAGGATTGGAATTTCTGTCTGTACCAGCTGCGTGGTTAGGACAACCTATGCTGAGGAGCCTCCATGTGGGCCGCGTGCCAGGCATCTGAGGGATGGCTTCCAGGTTCACAATGACACGCCAGCCTATAGTGTGCCCTGATGTTGGCTGCAGACCCAGGTTCGAGGGTCCTCATGGTGGCATAAGTCCCCACAGGGGGCCCTGGTAGATGCTGTGCAAATGGAGCCAGAAGTGAAGTACGCTGAGGGAAAGCCACTATCAGCCTAGAATTGTGCATTGGAACAAATGATCATTTGAATTTCCTGTAACAGGACGCCCTGGGATGTTACAGTCTACTCCAGAGGAGCTCACTGAAGGATGTCCTTCAGGAGCAGCAGGGTCATCCTGCAGCAGGGTCTCAGGCTGAGGCAGACAGATGAGCAGGACAGCCAGTGAAGGTGTGAGCAGATCCCAGCAGCAGGAGCTGCCGCATGGTGACTGCCTGGCCTAACCTGGCCATCTGTTGCAGGGCAGCAGCTGGAGTCCTTGTCAGCACGAGCTTTGGGAGACAGTGCCCTCAGCGAGCCCTGGCGGTGCAAAGGTTTCCTAAACAAGGGCCTCAAAGCCCACACAGTGAGGAAAACCTAAAGTCAACTACATTAAAACTTTAAACGTTTCATATCAACATAAAAGTGAAACTGAGGCTCGGCGCCTATAGCTCAACCGGCTAAGGCGCCAGCCACGTACACCTAAGGTGGCGGGTTCGAATCCCCAGCCCGGACCCGCCAAAACAACAATGACGGCGGCAACCAAAAAATAGCCGGGCGTTGTGGTGGGCGCCTGTGGTCCCAGCTACTTGGGAGGCGGAGGCAGGAGGCTCGCTTGAGCCCAGGAGTTGGAGGTTGCTGTGAGCTGTAATGCCACGGCACTCTACCCAGGGGGACAGCTTGAGGCTCTGTCTCAAAAAAAAAAAAAAAAAAAAAAAAAAAAAAAAAAAAAGTGAAACTGAAACCCATAAAGCAAGAACATACTATGGACAGAGAGATTAAGTATTTACAATATGTCAAGAATTACAGGTCAAAGAAGGGGGCAAACAGCTCACTTAGAAAAGCATAAAAACCATGACTGGGAATTAACAAAAACGGGAAATAAACAAGTGAAAATGCTCATCCTCCTTTAGTGATCCCCAAATGAAAGCCACAGGGAGCCCTTGCACACCATCAGCCATGACATGTCGGGGGAGGTAGCCAGGCCGGCGTACCCCGAGTCCTAGCTGTTCTGAGGACTGAGGCGGGAGGGTTACTCGAGCCCAGGAGTTTGAGGCTGCAGTGAGCTGTGATTGCACCTGTGAATAAACTGTACTCCAGCCTTGGCAACATGGTGAGACCTCATCGCTACTGAGGAAAATAATACTTTTTAAGAGTTTTAACAGAAAGGTAGAAGCCAGTGGTCTTGCCCACTTCCAGTCCTCGGGGACTGGTCAGTAACAGCTGGTCAATTGGGGAGCCTCTTGCACACACAGACAAGAAAATATGTGCAGAAACCTGGAGACAAGCTGTGGGCTCTTTGTTAGGGGAACTGACAGGCAAATGTTGTCTGTTCCTAATATTACTGCTAAATAAGACTAAAAAGCAGTGAGAACCAGTGAAGTAGAGCTCCATGTATCACACAGTGGACCTCACCCAGAAAGGCGGTTCAGGAGCCACACATGATGTGCTGTCTTAGGACTTGTTATGTTCAAAGCATGCAGGACAGTGTTTTCAAGAGTCCCTGGCTCAACGCCTGTGGCTCAAGTAGCTAAGGCGCCAACACATACCCCTAAGGTGGCGGGTTCGAAGCCAGCCCGGGCCCGCCAAAACAACAATAATGACTGCAACCAAAAAGTAGCTGGGCACTGTGGCGGGCACCTTTGGTCCCAGCTACTTGGGAGGCTGAGGCAGGAGACTCGCTTGAGCCCAGGAGTTGGAGGTTGCTGTGAGCTGTGA